GTGGAGTTGCGATGAATGTGAGTGCTGTCTTATACTATAGTTTGCATTTTATTGTCCGAATATTATACCTTGATCTCCATTGACTGTTATAGCCAGTTGAACATCCCCATGGAGGTGGTAATCATCAACACATTGGCAAACCATCTACCATTCGCCGAGATGCGCCACACGGGCGTAAAGTTGGTCTTATTGCTGCTAGAAGAACTGGTAGAGTCCGTGGTACTCGTGTTGTTTCAACCAAAGCGGAAAAAGAGTGATTTTCTTAATAAATATGTATTGGAAAATTTCTTTTATCTTATCGGTATCAAAGCATTACATTAACACCTTTCAAATCCACAATTGGCCTATGAATTCGCCTAGTTATTTTGATTATCATCGTAATGCACAACCATTTCGAACTCGTCCAAGCATTATTTCCCTTTAGTTTCTGCTATCGGTTATTTTGAGGTTGCAATTATTATTTCCGTGCTGTTTCATGTCGCTTGCGGTTTTTTATTTGCCGCCTTTATAATTTAGTTTAAAATTTCGCATCTTTGTTTTACAATTTTGTCACCATCCTCTACCGTACTCGATATTTTTATTTATCAACAATACGTTTAAATATCTGCTGATACGTGGCAGCAGCTGGTGATATACTTTTTACTATTTGCTCGTATTTGCCGCTCTAACAACGGATCAACTACTACCAATTTGTTAGAAGTTTATTCCTGATTCTAATCCAAGTTCGTTTTTGTTATGTCCCTGCCTGAGCATATAAGTTAGTGCATCACATACTATTATAGTGTTCCTTTCGCTTTCTGTGCTCTTAGGCCTCAGGATAGAAATCGTTTTTTCTCAAGAGCTCAATGTAGTGTTTGTGAGACTTGAGTGGCTGAGCTAATAAGATTTGCTCTACGGGGCGACTTTATTTGTTAACAACGCAAAGACCAGCTTTTCCGGGGATCAAGTGTCTCAATTTTTCTGTCAAACCCTAGCTAATCTGGGCCAAATAGCTGAGCCAGAGTATCCTCGCTTCGGAGATCAAAATCATGTGGTCTATTATTTCTAATTTGTTTTATGTTAGGTGCCACCTCTCATGGAGCATTGACTCCTAGTTATTGGCATTTTTTCCCACTCGGGCCATTGCTTACGTCATGCCGCCGCATCCGTTCCGTCTCATTTCCATACTACGATGGTCCCGTCCCAATGAATTGTTCTCAGGTACCTTTCGGGGTACATCGCTAGCAACCTATCTTATGCAAACGTGATTATATTCGGGCTGATGAGGGGTTCAAGCCAAGCGTAATCTGGCCCACAACGCCTTTTGAGCTGCAGGGAAAGGAAATTTTTCTGCAGATCTATGCTTTAGATAACAAATTTTTGATCCTGTGGACGGAGAATCTGTTAATGTAGTGTGTTGGCGCACCTCTACGTTCATTTAAAATGCTGAAGTTGGCCTAACCTAAAGGCCTTGGCTCAACTGGTCCCAAGCCAGTTAACTCTAAACAGTTTATTAGGAGCTCTATAAAAATAAGCAAAACGGCTACAATTAAGGAACCGAGTCTAGAAAAATAAGTGCAAATTTGTTGTAGCTATTGGGGATACGGAGGGTAAGAGAACAAATT